CCATGAGCACTACCTTCTTCACCTTGTCATAATCGCCGGAGTCGTCAAGGGACAACGTGGAGTAGGCGATTTGGGCCTTCCCAGTCAAGACTGACTGTATCATGATGGCCCAATTCTCCCTTGGCCACTCCAAAGAGGCAGCGACTTTCTCGACGGCCGCGAAGAACTTCGACACTTCCTTCTCATTGAATTTCGGGACCATTTTGATGTTCCTCACCAGATCGAAAAGACTTGTTTCCATTCTTTGCCTCCCACCACCTAACCGCAATACTTTTAGTTCATGTTGTCTGTCTTTCTTTTTCTTCTCTCTCTCTCTGTTTCTCTTCCCTTTCTCGCTCCTCTCTCTCTCGTTTCTCTTCTCTCTCTCGTTTCTCTTCTCTTTCTCGCTCTTCTCTTTCTCGCTCTTCTCTCTCTCGTTTCTCTTCTCTTTCTCGCTCTTCTCTCTCTCGTTTCTCTTCTCTTTCTCGCTCTTCTCTCTCTCGTTTCTCTTCTCTTTCTCGCTCTTCTCTCTCTCGTTTCTCTTCTCTTTCTCGCTCTTCTCTCTCTCGTTTCTCTTCTCTTTCTCGCTCTTCTCTCTCTCGTTTCTCTTCTCTTTCTCGCTCTTCTCTCTCTCGTTTCTCTTCTCTTTCTCGCTCTTCTCTCTCTCGTTTCTCTTCTCTTTCTAATTCTAAACGCCTCATCGCCAATTCTTTATCTTTCATCTCCATTTCTTTATCTTTTAATTCTCGTTCTATTTCTAACTTCTTCCATTCTATCTCACGATTTATTTCTAAGGCACGCATTTTGACTGTAAGTAAGCTGATATTCAGCTCACCTGCATCGCTGTCAATGTCACTGCCCTTATCTTCCTTTTCAGTGGAAGCTATTTCCTCACCTTCTTTTGTACCTTGTGCCCCATCTTCCTGTTTTTCTTCTGCCTTCAAATGCCGGTGAACCTTGGACAAGATCTCCACACGGGAATCACTGGCACGTATCTTTATCTCCAGGTAGGCACTCACTAACACTAGTTCTTGTTTCCCCAGATATTTTAATCTGGCAAGACAGTCCTCCCTGTTCAGAAAAGCCTGAACATCGTCCAGATCATCGATGGTCGCTTTTTCCGCCATTGTCACCGAGATGAAGCACTTAACTAGCACTTAACACACCGCTTTCACGTTAGCACTTAACGCACCGAGCACTGTTCTACGTCAATATTGCACGTAATTACACCAGGCACCGCGCTACACAATATTGCACTTAATCACAGCGAGCACATCGCTCTACAACATTGCACTGAATCACACCGAGCACCGCACTATACAATATTGCACTTAATCACAGCGAGCACTTCGCTATACAATGTTGCACGTTATCACACCGAGCACCGCACTATGCAATAATGCACTTAGTCACTCTGAGCACCGCACAGGACGTATAACGTCCTAATAGTCACACACAGGGGGAATTATTTACAGGGATTACGCCACTTCACCACCCCTGTCAAACATACTTGACAAGGGGTCGGATCCCGCTGGGGATGCCAATTATGTTACGGCCCTCTCGGGTCGCAACCGGGTTCTTGCTCTGATGTTGTTAGAGGAAGGGTATCCGGCCCCAAGCCAGTAGTGGCTTTCAAGGGATGTGATCCGTAACGCAATTAAATTAAAGGGGAAGGGAAATAAAGGCAAAAACTTAATATAATATAATTAATACCATCACCATAAATACTATATAAACGATTACATGGGGGGGGGGGGTATAAACACTAGAATGCACAACGTAGTCTTCTTCTGAAGACCCTGGACGTTCACGGTGCTCACGATACTAAGCTCTTGGTGCTCTTGTGGCCTTACGATGAATCCTTCGATCCGCTCGAGTCTACCCTGGCCACAGGCCAGCCAAATCACAGTTCCACTGGGGGCACCATCGTGGAGGCCATCAACCACAAGTCCAGCCGGTAGCTGGCAGGTTCTAATCAGCGACGCTGGTTAGGCCACCCCACGATCGATACTAAGGTCGCGAACCCTAGTCAGGAGCCTCGTGTGATCCCACAGACCACTCTCCTTGCCACAACACCCCAGTGGTTAAGCGTCTCCACCAGTCAGTCCCGGGTACGACAATCCCTCAACTGCCACCTCACAGGCAGGGTAACACCACAGTGTTCATCCGGGGGACGACTCACAGCTGCTGCAGCAAACGCTTGGAGACAAGACGACTGCCTTGGGTAGACTGATCCACTGTCCGATTCAGCAGTCCCAGGTCGACTCTGTAATCAGACACGTCATCAGTATTCGGGACACACTAGGACATGTCACTTACCGGCTCAGACCCAAACGCCCACCTATCCACTCCATAGATGGCGTTGCTGTCTGAGCGCCACCTCACCAGAGGTCAGCAGCGGCTGTGTTATGATCTGATCAGGACGGGAAACTAGCCCTTGTGGCTGGTATTTCCTGCCCTCACTTGATGGCGCCGTCCATTTGGAGGGGGTTTCGGGAGCTGACCCACAGATGGCGTGGTCGTCACTGCTCCGTGCTCGGACGTCGGGCTCGGGTCCGTAACATATATCAAATTTATATGTTAAATATAATATGTTCATATTTAAAATATGATATGTTCTTGTGTACTTCTCGTGGCTGTGTGTTCACGACTTGTGCGTTCATGTGTGTGTGTATGTGTATTCACCTAGTTGTGCTTGCGGGGGTTGAGCTCTGGCTCTTTGGTCCCGGCTCTCAACTGTCAGTTGAGACAACTGTGTTGTCACTTATACGTACATGCTTGTGTGTGTGTGTGTGTGTGTGTGTGTGTGTGTGTGTGTGTGTGTGTGTGTGTGTGTGTGTGTGTGTGTGTGTTACTTGTACATCCATGCTTGTGTTGTCACGTCCCGTACGAACCTGTATCGATAAAACCAACATGAGGCAGAGGCAGGCTTCAGTATCGACCTCTCAACACCCTCCACTGTGACGGGAGAATGAAAGGTTGTCTTGCCCTCTTTAAACATAACATCCGTCGACCACACTCCAGACTGGTGGTAAGGTGCGCCGCGCTACCTCCTTACACTTTCTGGTAGTGTAACGATATTTTGTGGGTTTTTGTCGTGTGTGTGGGGGGTTGTGTCGTGTGTGTGTGTGGGGTTGTGTCGTGTGTGTGTGTGGGGTTGTGTCGTGTGTGTGTGTGGGGTTGTGTCGTGTGTGTGTGTGTGGGTTTTTGTCGTGTGTGTGTGTCGTGTGTGTATCGTGTATACACTCACCATTTATAAAAAGAAAATGCTACGCAATAGGTCACAAATAACCCAATTTGTTAACCAATTTATGCAAGGCAACCCATATATACAAATAGGGAACTTACAACTAAGTAAAAATTCACAGTAAACAGAGCAACGTACAAATTACAATTAGTTTCACACACTTCTACCGAGTAGAAGTAGAGGTAGAAACCTGTATAACCCAATGGAACGGTAGTTATGGCGAGAAAGCGCTAATTAAACCTTTTTCATCTAAGCTTTCTGAGAAAAGAAAGGTTTAGGATTTCTCGTCACAATTCTGCAGAGCACAATCATGTATGGCACAGAGAAGGGGAACCTAGGAAGAGAGTGGTCCTTGGGGGCTGAAGGAATGGTGCCCCAGACTCTTGGAACATCGGGGGATCGAAGGCCTACCCTGCAAGAAGCGAGGAAACTGTGTCGTGTGGATGTTTTATAAGCCAAACCTGATGGATGACAATGTATCATGTTTGCCACATAGGTGAAGAAAAACGCCAACCTATTCATCGTACAATATTCCAAGTGGTGTGTTTTTCATTTGGTTAGGCCGGGTAGGGTTTGGCTAGGATAGGTTGGGTTAGGATAGGTTACGTTGAGTTGGGGTTTAGATTGGGTTAGTTTAGGTTAGGTTGTGTTGGGTTGAGTCGTTTTTGAGATTGGGTTAGGATAGGTTGTGTTGAATTGGGATTGCTATGTTGGGTTAAAATTGGATTTGGTTGAGTCAGGTTAGGGAACAGATGTTAAGACACTCAGCAACGACAAGCATCCAACTTTAAATAGTTTGGCCAAACTGGAAATGTGGGAACCTAGACATGTGTACCATTCGATGTCACCCGTACCACGAGACGTCAAATGTACCATCAAACGTTGTCTCAGAGAGCTGGTGGTACGCCACCTGTAGCCTATTTTCCGAGGTACCCAGTCCGCCTAGTACCTAGTCTGTACCCAACACATACACCGGTACTCCTCGGCGCCTGTCTAAGCTCTCTAGTACAGTACAGAAGGAAGAAAACTATCATCAGAAAGCACCATCACGACTATATAGCACTTGGAAGGGATCAAGATTTGGGATGGAATGGGGGGAAAGGAATGGTGCCCAACCACTTGTGGACGGTCGGGGATTGAACGCCGACCTGCATGAAGCGAGACCGTTGCTCTACCGTCCAGCCCAAGTAGACTGGACTAGTACAGAGGGAGAATCATCGCAGTGTTGCATCATGGAACACCTTGGAACTGATTGTTTTTTGCAACACAGCAAATTGTTGCATTTTTGCAACACTTTACGGAGTTGTTAGTGCAAGATTTGCATATAATTAGGATGATGTCTCAGCGAACTATTTTCTCGCTTCTTTAGCGTGTGGCTGTGAGCAAGGTTGATGTAGAAATGATTGATGCCATCAACTGCATGTCACCCTCAGAAGGATATCATCAACGGTAGTGTTGCTCCGCACGGTGTAGACTAAGCAGGTTTCTGGGAACTTGGTCAGAATCGATGCTTAAAACCATCAATTATGGGCAATATTTTGGCCAATGCGTTTCACGCGCATCGAGAGAGAAATCAAATGCCACGTGGCGGTGTGGAATGCCTCACCGACGCATGCTATGATGCCTTGATAATGACCAACTCACGCATGCCTTTGGCGTTGATGCATTGTCCTATATCAGATGGTTCATGACAGGCGTCCGTCTCAAGACTGACGGAGACGGACGGGCCGACAACAGGAAGGTTGGAGAGAGCCTGGAGGAAGCTTTAGCGGTCTCAAAAGACTAGTGGAAAAACGTTAGTGTTTTCAAAATTTTGGAGGAAGCGAGGTTCCTTCGACGCGAGGTTCCTTCGACGCGAGGTTCCTTCGACGCGAGGTTCCTTCGACGCGAGGTTCCTTCGACGCGAGGTTCCTTCGACGCGAGGTTCCTTCGATGCGTGGTTCCTTCGACGCGAGGTTCCTTCGACGCGAGGTTCCTTCGACGCGTGGTTCCTTCGACGCGAGGTTCCTTCGACGCGAGGTTCCTTCGACGCGAGGTTCCTTCGACGCGAGGTTCCTTCGACGCGAGGTTCCTTCGACGCGAGGTTCCTTCGACGCGTGGTTCCTTCGACGCGTGGTTCCTTCGACGCGTGGTTCCTTCGACGCGAGGTTCCTTCGACGCGTGGTTCCTTCGACGCGTGGTTCCTTCGACGCGTGGTTCCTTCGACGCGTGGTTCCTTCGACGCGTGGTTCCTTCGACGCGTGGTTCCTTCGACGCGTGGTTCCTTCGACGCGAGGTTCCTTCGACGCGTGGTTCCTTCGACGCGTGGTTCCTTCGATGCGTGGTTCCTTCGACGTGAGGTTCCTTCGACGCGTGGTTCCTTCGACGCGTGGATTCCTTCGAAGCGTGGATTCCTTCGAAGCGTAGATTCCCCGACTCTTGATTCGATCGAGAACATGGTCCCTACAGCACTAGGTTCTTTAGACACGTGGTTGCCACAACACAAGGTTGCTACAACACGTGGTTCCTGTAAGGCGGGTCCTGGGTGGTGTGAACAGGTGAAGTAGGAAATAATAAAGTAAACTGCAATGAGAGGCCATAACGCGAGATAATTAGAGAGGGGAGAGTAATAGGAGCCTCGGCACCCCTCTCGACGCCTTGCTAACGAGGGGAGCGGGTAATGGTTTTAGGGAAGGGGAAGAGGCGACACGAAGCCTCTCTAAGTGTGTTCCAATTGGCCCGTCCAGGGGGCGAGACAGTGAATGTAATTATAAAGGGAGGGAGAGATGGTGGGGGGAGAGGAGACTGTTTCTTTGTCTCTTAGTTTCTGTTTCGCTGAGAGAAAAAGTGAAAACTACAAAGATAAATTAAAGGTGACATTAGAGTTCCTTGCTGCGACCCACCCAAAGTCAACAATGTTATATATCACTGACACACTGAATGTTCACCCTAACCAACTTTTTCCATGACAAGGCCGAGATATCTGAAAACTCCTCACCCATGAAGGATTCGAACCTAGACAGCCAGGGCTCCAAGCACCTTAGCGTACCCAGTACTATACCGCTCTAGCGGCATAGTACTGGGTACATCACTGAAGGGTGGAGTTGTGGACGGGGCACCACTGAGGGAAGTCCACTGACATCCGGAACATGCTGCTATAAGACCAAAAGACCAAAGCTATGCAGTTCCACGGACCCCATAACTCAAGCACATAACCCACACTACCTGATCGCTCAGGGCGCTTGTGATTCCTTGCAATACAAGTTACTGAGATATGACTGGCTAGCCAGTGTTGGAGCATGATTGACGACAAGCATCAGAAGGTACTAAACCTTGTAGCTAACGTTCATAGAGGTGAAAGTGAGGTGTTTCTGTATCGATTTACATATTGATGGACTGTATTCATGAGCTATTCTAAAGTGTGTGTGTGTGTGTGTGTGTGTGTGTGTGTGTGTGTGTGTGTGTGTGTTTTCACACACCGCCCTTCCCCCCTCACAACCAATATCGCCTTTACAACCTCCTCGCCACAAGGGCCAAGTTAGCTTGCACCACTCGTATAGTTCTACCCGCCAGCTGTGTTCGGTTACCGAATTTCCCAGAACTGCCGGTGCAGCCGCTAGAGGCGCTACTGTTCCCGTTCTTCAGTGCAGCTGGCTACCTTCAAAGTGTCGTACTCTCCTGAGCAGCTGCGAATGCTCAGGCACACCGCCCTGAGCAGCTGCTGGAAGTGTTCACTCCTACAGCCCTCAGCTGCTTCAAGTACCACCTCAAGACCGAATTGTGTCTTGGAGAATAGGTTGTAATTCCTGTGTATTTTGAGTGTTCCTTCTTCGTGGGAAGAAGGCAGTTGAAGCTTCAGGGGATTGAACGAGTGTGAGGGAGAGAGAGAGGGTGGGAAGCTGCCTCATTTGAGTCAATGGTGTCTGTGATGGTCCTCAAACTGTGCAATGACGGACTACACCGACGGTGAGGAAGTTTGGACAACAGTCTACGGTAAGAGCACGTACGATTTCACTTACTGGGCGTAATATAAGTTACCTCTGTATGCGACATATTAGTAACGCATATAACAATATAATCCTGTGCCAGGGACGAATATTCATAGCTTATTGAATCACATAATGAAGAAAAATTCTGAATAATGATTGGTTGAGAAGGAAGACATGCGCACTAGGCTGTCCGGCGTGTTGTACGACTTGGTTTAATATTTCATACACCAGACGCTAGAGTTATCGTTTTCTTTAAGGTTCTGGGAACTTACTGCCCTCAGCGAATATGTTTCAAATTTGTATTCCTATACGTCTGTGAGCCTTCAGCCGAATCTTCTCCACACAATGCAACCCACAGACTTGTTTACGATAGTGGAAATGTTCCAATTTATCATACGCCCGCCCGCACGTAAACACACAAGGGTACAATAGTCGTGTATAATTCCTGAAGTCAACATGCAAGGATTTAATGCCACCGCCATGCAACCTGTGTACTTGCTTAGTTGTGCTTGCTTAGGCTCTTTGGTCCCGTGACCATATGAACAAATCCACAAGGGCCGTGACTTTCTGGAGTTCTGTTACTTCTGTAGTTTCACCATGCCTTCGTAACGGCTTGGCTTCCTTACATGCCCGATTAAACCACGGATTTTTCCTTTGCTTTCCTTTTGGACGGGGATAAACTTCTCTACTCCCTCCTGACACTTTTGAGTGATGTAATCCATCATATCTTGTACAGACTTGTGCTCTGACTTCTGTTTCCCATGGTATTCATTTTAGGAATTTCCATCAGAGTCCCCTTCGGTATGCCAGGCCTTTCTGGCCCCTTCCTTGGGTAGGGTATTCTTAATGCCATCTAAATACTCAAATGTCAATACAATATATGAAGTAACCCCATACATATCCATATTCATACCTTACGATGCCTCTTGAGAAATCAGTCATACACTGGCGTATTCTGACTGATCCATGCATGCGATGGCGTACATGTTGTACTTGGTTACCATGGTGGTATGGTCCCCCCCTCCCCCCCACACTCTCCCCTCCCCTCGCTCTCCCCTTCCCCAACTCTCCCCTTTCCCCCACTCTCCCCTTTCCCCCACTCTCCCCTTTCCCCTACTCTCCCCTTTCCCCTACTCTCCCCTTCCCCAACTCTCCCCCTTCCTCCATTCTCACCACCCCTCAATCTTCCCTCACCCTCTACCTTAGACGAGCGGGCCAAGGTAAGTATTACGAGAAGGTGGGAATGTATTGATTATCTCCCCTCTTGTGACCCCTATTTTACTAACCCTCTCTGCCTCTGCTGTCATGACCACCTTCAGTACACCTCACTCACAAGTTGCTGCTGCTAGTGAAAACACAACCTTCCCCTACATCTAAGCCGGGGGAAGGCCACTGTTGCTCACCTGGATAGGTTTAAATGCCCAACTAGCGAAAAACTTGATAATACTTAAATCCCAACTGATCCAATTGCCTACAATAACAGCGTAACTGGCACCACACCTGTCTCAGTGACCTGTGTTTACATCTGTCATATTAATGCTAGTAAGGGCGGGGGGGGGGGGGGAAGAGTCTTCCTCTTACAACAAATAGTAAGCTTGGTTTGAATGATTATGTTGGGGAATTTCAGAATAGCTCTATCTTTTGCCATAATCTATGGAAAGATGCTGGGTGCCCCATAGATGGTTGGCTACCATAGATCAGACGTACCACTACGGCTCAATATCAACGAACACGGAGGATTAAGGCAGAGAAAGGTAATATTTGCGAGATCAAAAGTGGGTGATAACCTTTATATGAAAAGTTTTACGAACTTTAGGTTGAAATTTGATAAATAGCTTATGCAGGAGGGTGACAAATATCATGGACGATATGCAGGCGATGAGTCACAATAACGTGGCTAAAGTATGATGACCAGACCACACACTAGAAGGTGAAGGGGCGACGACGTTTCGGTCCGTCCTGGACCATTCTCAAGTCGATTGTTGTGCCATTCTCACAATAGACTTGAGAATGATCCAGGACGGACCGAAACGTCGTCGTCCCTTCACCTTCTAGTGTGTGGTCTGGTCAACATCATCATAGACGATGCCTCTGGGCACAGAAATATATATATATAATGTTTCCAGAGTGCGAACAACTTGTTTTTCGCACTTTGGTTGACTAAAAACTGCAGTTTTTAGTCAAACTGTCGTATAGGCAGTACTAAGGCTAATGTTTTCCTGTATACTGATCATCTAGACCTACTTGCACCGATCAAAGATGCTATGGATCGGAATACATGAAAGATATATTACATAATACACCCTAATGGTCAGTCCAGCCAAATGTGCTGTATTTTCATTTTACTTGTTTTAAATTGATCCTAAATTAAAATTACTATGCAGAGGGATGCCAGTAAAGTTATTCTGAAAAGCATCTGGGGGCATATTACTTCCTCAAAGGGGCACCCAACCACTTGGGCTGGACGGTAGAGCGACGGTCTCGCTTCATGCAGGTCGGCGTTCAATCCCCGACCGTCCAAGTGGTTGGGCACCATCCCTTACCCCCCGACCCATCCCAAATCCTTATCCTGACTCCTTCCAAGTGCTATATAGTCATTATGGCTTGGTGCTTTACCCTGAAAACTCTTCCTCCTCCTCAAAGGGCCCAATTGTCTCCTGTGGCGCAGTGGTAACACACTCACCCCTCGCTTTGCAAGCGGTTTGGCTTAGGTTCGTATCCTTGCCAGGGAGGATTGACTAGCTGCCAATCCTTAAATGTACGCCTCTCTTCACCCAGCAGTGATGCAGTACCTGGTTGCTAAACGATTGCCGAGTAGTGTTCCAGGGAAAACTAGTGGGTAAGGCTTACCATGAGCTATGGGATGGGAAAGCTCTCAGCCTGCTAACATGAGTCAGCAGTCGTCTGTTCCTGCACCCTCCTGTGCAAAGAGAGTGAGTGGGGGTGGGAGGGGGGTGGGAGGGGGATACACTATAAACAAAGCAGCACAATTAAGGCACTAAACAAGGCGGGGGAAAGTGGTGAGAAGCGTTCCCATAGTTATAAAGAAGCAAGATGATCTTATTGTCTTGGGAGATTATTTTCTCAAGCCGCCGCCCTCTTCCTCGCCATCTGCACCTGTTCCTCACACCTCGTCCTTATCTACTTTATTTCCTCACCTGCTCCTCTTCATCGAGAGCAGTAACTTGCCCAGCGCTCTCGTGTGGGTGTGGGGTGGCGGCGCCTACCATTGCGCCACAGTAAGGTAATCGCGCTGTTAAGCTTCCACTGAAGGCCACTGTTTCGTAAACGCCGTCTTCTCCACCTGTTGGCGTTCCACGATGGTCTGGTCTGATTGGTCTGTGAATATGTGACATCAAACTCGTCTGAATGTGACATCTGATTCCTTTGAAGCTGTAACGTCATGTATGAATCTGAGCCGTGAAACTCGTTTGAAACTGGTTCGTCAAACTCGTGTTAAGGGAGAATATAGAACATCGAAGCCATTATTACATAAACATTCGTTCGCAAGAGAGACAACACAATATATTTAAATGAAAGAATTTCAGTTTTTCCTTGACAAAATGCGGCCGACAGGTTTCACGTTGTACTTTACTCCCGCTCCTGAGCTCTCTAATTGGTTCTAGTGCCTCTACGTCACTACGTCGTCATCGTCGTCCGCGCAGGTGATTGGCAGACTCTTACTTCCACTGCCCCCGGTTGGTTGGTTGAGTTCTGACGTCACGAGACTCCGCCCCCCATCTCACAAACATACAGGCCCTCAGACTCCCGCCCTGAACTCAGACTCACTCTGGCGACTGGGACGAGTACACGTGTCTTGTTTCTCCTGGTTATCGTAGAATAACTCGCAGTGGCGATGCTCGTAGAAGGTATGTGTCGTCAGTTGTACTTTTAGAAGGTTGCCTAGATGCACTATGTGCTAGATAAGGAGCAACAAAGGTCTTGGGCACCTCTGTTAATCATATATACACGAATTGAACAGGGTTAAACTTTAGTAAATTTGTCGAAGGCACTAAAAGAAAACGGGAAATTAATTCACAAGCTGGGATAAGAGAACAAGGAGCTGGGATATGTGAGCAAGGAGCTGGGATATGTGAGCAAGGAGCTGGGATATGGGAAAAAAGGAGCCGAGATCTAAGAACAAGGAGCTGGGATATGAGAACAAGGAACAGGAATATGGGAACAAGGAGCTGGGATATGAGAGCGCTGGTGGCTAAGTGGGCAGCACGCTGGATACATAGTCCTGTGGTCCAGGGTTCGATTCCCGGCGCCGGCGGAAACAAAAATGGGCAGGGTTTCTTTCACCCTGATGTCCCTGTTACCTAGCAGTAAATAGGTACCCGAGAGTTAGACAGCTGTTACGGGCTGCTTCCTGTGTGCGTGTGTGTGAAAAAAATAGTAGCTAGTAGCATTTGATTGACAGTTGAGAAGCGAGATTGTGTGTATATTCAACTAGGTGAATATGCACACACATACATTGAGAAGGATTAAGACAGAGGAGGACAGCTTGAGACTTCAAAAAAAACTGGACAAACTGAAGGAATTTTCTAACCATTGGTTGTTAGAGTTTAACCCAAGCAAATGTAACGTAATGAAGATAGGTGCAGGGAGCAGGAGGCGATCGAGATACAAGGAATCATTTGGGAAATGAAATGCTTCAAGTATCAGAGAGAGAAAGATCTGGGGGTTCATATCACGCCAGACCTGGCGTGATATGAAGAGGATAACATCAGCGGCATATGCCAGGTTGGCCAACATAAGAACGACCAGAAACTTGTGTAAGGAATCATTCAGAACTTTGTATACCACATATGTTAGACCAATCCTGGCGTATGCGGCTCCAGCATGGAGTCCATATCTAGTCAAGCATAAGGCTAAACTGGAGAAGGTTCAAAGGTTTGCCACCAGACTAGTACCCAAAATGAGGTATGAGCCACGAGGAGACACTACAGGAATTAAACCTCATGTCGCTGGAAGACAGAAAACTTCGGGGGGACATGATCA